TTTGACAGATTTTCCATGTCTTTCGATAGTTTATTTTCAATTGAATCAATTTCTTTGCCTGCCACATACAAAACAGTATCATCTGCATATTTTAAAATGCTTGAATACTCCATGACTTCTACAGCATCATTGAAAGAGATAAGAAACAATAGAGGGCCAAGTATTGAGCCTTGTGGAACTCCTGTTAACAAGTTCTCCTCATCTGAGATACAACCGTTGAATGCTACCACTGCCTTTCGGGAGAACAGATAGTCGTTGAACCATTCCAATTCGTTATCTTTTATTCCGTAAATCGCAAGTTTTTCGAGTAGTATGGCGTGGCTTATGGTATCAAACGCCTTACTAAGGTCAACAAAGACTGCTCCGACGAGCTGATCCTTGTCGACGCTTCTCCGTATGTCATCCAACAATATAGTCGCCGCATATTCAGTTGATAATTTGGGCCTGAAACCATATTGGTATTTTGACAAGAGCTTGTTTGTGTCTAGAAATTTCATAACTTGACGATGAACAATCTTTTCAATCACCTTGGATAGTATCGGTAAAACTGAAATTGATCGGTAATTATCACAGTTAGAGCGTGCACCAGATTTATGAGTAGGAATGATTTTAGCTGCCTTCCAGTCCGCGGGAAAGGTACTGGTCATGAGTGACATATTGATAAGATGGGTCAAGGGACCCGATATTGACTCAGCAGAGTCCTTTATCAAACCTGGTGGCAGATCATCTAAGCCAGTTGCTTTATTTCTCTTTATAGACTTAAGTCCACGCTCAACTTCATGTTTTGATACCTTTCTAAACATAAACTTTCTAACTGTTTTTGTGGGTAAGTTGGGTTGATTTCTCCATGTGAAGTTACATAACGGGAAAGCCTTTTCCTTCAAGGTTGTTACGATATTAGCAAAAAAGGAGCAAAATGCGTTTGCTATCTTGCTTGGGTCTTTTACTTTATCGCCGTTAATTTCGAAAGATTGAGGACTTTGTTTGTCGCTCGACTTGGTTGGGTAAATTGATTTTAGTGTTTTCCAAAACTTATTTGGATCCCTTGAATTTTCTTTCAATAAATCCTTGTGGTACATTGACTTGGCTTTTCTGACAGCTGTATTCACTTTATTACGCATGCATTTATATGCTGAGATGTCTGTTTGATTTTTAGTACGTCTTGATCTTCTTAACAGTTTATCTCTTTCATTCATAAGACGCTTCACCTCACTGTTTAGCCACGGTGCTGGCTTTCCCCTTACTTTCTTGAATATTCTCGGGGCGTGATGATTAAATACATTTTGAAGGATGCTTTTCATCATCGACCAAGCCTCGTTCACATTTATTTGGTTATAGAATGGAGCCCAGTCCACATTTTGTAAATCTGATTTCATATTTTCCGGATTATACATTTTATAATCCCGACAAGTAATAACCCTCGGTCTAAAAGAACTGTTATTTATTTTACGAACGCAACCAGGCATGTCATGATCTCCAATGCTGGTCGGTATGACGTCATGTTTTGCGATGTTCGAAGGATTATTTGTAAGGATGACATCAATCAATGTTTCTGTAGTTTCTGATATCCTCGTAGGCTTTGCAATAATTTGTTTCAAACCAAACACACTGAAGATTGCTTTCAGCTCTTTGTTGTCATTTTCAATTCGAAAATTTATATTCGCATCCCCAAGAATCATAGTTTCTTTGCACTCTTCTGCAGCCTTTGTTAACAAGGAATTAAAGCGTGCGTTGAAATCCTTTCGCAGGTATTTGGAACTATCTGGAGGCCGGTATATTATTGCGATCAAAATACCTTTGCAATGTTCACGACTAGGCCAGACCTCAATCCACATAATTTCCAATTCTTTGTCCTCGAGGTCTTCTCGCCTGTCCCAGGATACCTTATTGGAAATGTAGGCACCAACACCGCCCCCTTTTCCAGAATTTCGTGGCCAGCTTTCAAACGAATAGCCAGGGATATCATACAGTCCATTATTTTCACTGTCTTTCTGTATGTGCGTTTCACTTAGGGTTAGTATATCGATCCCACTGAAGCTTTGAAAAAGTTCTGAAACAAGGTTTATGTTAGAAAACAATCCACGCACGTTTTGATGGAAAACTGCCAAGCCTCTCTGTTTAAGTAACTGTTTCAAAGCCGGGATGTCTCTGCTGTAGGGACAAGGACACGATTCTATATCACCACTCATCAGAATTAGGAGACACAGGAAACTTTGCATCGAGCTTCGGACATGAATATCGCGCTTCCCTCTCTTAGCTTGCCATAAACTGGATAATATAAACGTCTCCTTGCTGCTAGCAATTTCTTTTCCTGTGATAGTTAACCCAATTGAATCTGAGCCAACAAAAGCAATCTTCTTTACTTGGAAATTTATGATCACCAAGAGTAAGATGCAAATAAATTTCAGCACTACCGACACCTTTCGCGGACAACGTCTTTCGCAGCTCAGGACAAGAGACCGAAAATCTGTTTTGTATGTGGCAGGCAAAGAAATTGATTCAATTGAAAATAAACTATCGAAAGACATGGAAAATCTGTCAAAGTGGCTGAGATGCAATGAACTTATATTGAATCTAAAAAAAGGCAAGACAGAGTCGATACTATTTGGAACGGCACAACGAATTGCAAAACAGCAAAATGGGCCACTCAAAGTCACAATATCTCAGCCAACCCCAACGGTAATTAACAACACAACGGAATATAAATATCTTGGCGTCCTTGTGGATACCTCACTTAACTTGAACTCCCATTTCGACAAATGTTTCAAGCGTGCATCTGGTAGATTACGACTTCTAGCAAAATTAAGGTCGTTCATGGACAATGCTACAGCTAGTACAATCTATCGTACTATGATTCTTCCAACATTTACTTACTGTGGTATACTGCAACTAAAGCTCACAAAAACGCAAATAAGCAGACTTTCCTCATTTCATTCTCGTTCATTGAAGATAGTCTATGGTGATGAAACAGCCGGTAAAGGGCTCATGTCAGTCATAAATGCGAATAAGATGAGAGCCTGCAAACTTGTGCGAAAATGCCTGGACAGAGATATCTGTGAACATTTTCAGAATTATTTTACTCTGATACAACATGAAAAGGAAACAAGAAGCAACAAATGCACTCTGCGATTACCTATTATTAAAAAAGAATATGCACGAAAATCGTTTCAATATATGGGCTCTAATGTGTACAATGAGCTACCTATAGACATACGTCGGACAAGGACACACAAAGAATTTGTTAAAAAAGTTAAAAATCATTTTGCAGGACAGTGACAAACATTATTTTATTTCCATGTGAAATTAGGTTTTATTAGGTATTATAGATCCTATTCTTGTAAGTTTTATCAATGTTTTTAATGTAATAAATTTTCTTTCAATATCATTTAAGGTCTAGGGCACAGGACACACAGTGATAACAGTGATGTTCTAATTGTTGAAGTGTTTATCTTGATAAATATTCGTTTTATTATTATTATATTATTATTATTATTATTATTGTATTTTTCTAGCTTTCTGTCAACTTCAGGCTTTCACTTTCAGTTTCAGATTACTTTTGTGTTGATTTAATTTCGATAAGAGGGAAAATAAAAGGAAACTCTTTATTGTATTAAACACATGGTTTAGATATGTGAGAACAAGAATATCGTACGAACTCGAAGTTTTTTGTCTCACATAAAAGAACTGACATTGGGCAGATGAAGTTTCTCATTTGTGGTGTGAAGAGGAAAAACGTTTACACTCACCATTCTTGGATCCCTGAGCATTTGCGATTCAGTGTACGGCTCATATGTTTCACTGGTGCTTGACTTAACATTTGAGATTCTTTCATATTGGTTGCTAAATGGCTGTTCATCATTAACAAATGGTTTTTTCTCATCTTCTGTAGCGTAATGCTTATCTATGGTAGTCGCCATTTTTTCAACCTCGTTTTGATTGATGGAACTTCCGGGTGATGAAGCAATCAGCGGTGATGTGAGGGGGGCAAGACTCTCCCGTTCCGCTCTTACCTAAATAATAAATAAAAAATCGAATATTTTAACAGGATAACCTATCAGTACAATATGTACTGTTGTCATTAGGGTCCTGAAAATGTACCTGCTTTAAATAGTAGTATTTTACAGAAGTCTAGCATCTTTACTTTATAACAGATTAATAATCATTTGGCACCTTCTTACCTGCCGTTCCCGCTGATTTCAGTAAGGCCTAAATGATCGTAATTGCATCACAAAGCAATAAATACCCATCATTATATATCCGGGGATAATGCCAAAAAATCATTCCTAGGGCGCTTTGGAGGAGCTTGGCCTATTACTGAAGCATTGAAGGCCAAAAACACTGGGCAGAGAAAATACATAATGTTAGCAGAATGCCTGATGATATCGAGCCACTTTTCTATGAGGTGTCAAAGAAAAAGGTAATATGTAAAAGCTTTCTGGTACTAATTGGCAAATTATAATAGCAGAGATATAAGGTTGGACCCCGCTCGAAGCAAAAGATCGATAACATAACATATGTGCACCAGACTGGAAACTTTGCTGCGCGCCCGCAATATATTGCCCGCGCACACCTCTGCGCGCTTTTGCATATTGGCCGCGCAAAATCCCCTAGATCCCTTGACAATAGGATTTAACATTATTAACAATAAAAATAACTAAGAGTGCATGATTTCAGGCGCGCAGTCTCAAATTTTCAAAATAAACTTGCCCGCGCAAGAAGCAAAGTTTCCAGTCTGGTATGTGCATATATGCATAAACAACATGGTAACAAACCAGTCGGCAGAGTATGGCACTTTTCGACGAGATCTCCGGTGTGCACGAGCAAAAAGCCTGGTGTGACGGTGTGCACCACCAAAAATGTCTGGTGTGCAGGTGTGCACCGACTATTTTTCCCTGTTGTGGTTAAAATTTGTGAATTTGCAATTCATTGTAAAAATGTATGTGAAGTATACTGTTGAAGATAGCGCAAGTTTTTATTTGTATTTTTGTCAAGTAAGATTCATGATATCTCAAATTGTTCATGCACAACTGTGCTTGTTTTTATCAGCTGACATTTTCTATGGGACCACACCAAGCCACACCCATCTTAGTTGCCACACCCAAAAATACGGGTGTGAAACAGGTTTTGCACAAAAATATCTCCGGTGTGCACGTGCCATACTCTGCAGACTGGGTAACAAATCAAAACTTTGTCTAGAACAAAAGCTTGCTGTGTCTTAGATTTTCAGTGAAGCCATGTAATCTGTATAAACAAAAGCATTTTTGCCAACTTTCAAACTTACGCTTGCATCAACGTTGATGTTGCAACATATAAAAGAGAATTTAAAATGGGTAGACCTTTCCCCGGGGAAAGGCCCCTTCCCCATATATCTATTGGCAGTATTGAGTTGTGTTGTGGTTCAGTTCAGTTCAGTTCCTTTAATTTTAAAATTCCACTACAATACAATTTCATAAATATTACTTTGAATTAAACAAAAAAAGCTTTTCAAAATCAAAGAAATACAATTCTATAAAACAACTACAATGCAAAACAAAGAAGGGATTTGCATTTTTTCTGGTGGTGCTGTTTTTTTCAGCCAATGTCGTTATGAAAATAAAGTTTGATGTTGTTTATCCTCTCTTTAATGATCAAACTTTGTCAAAATTGAAATTTTAATTTTATTGCTATTCTTTTAGAATGTTTTCTTTTGATGCATTTTGTTTTTCATTTTAAGAAACAAGTATATATTAAGTTATCTATGCCTAACATGAAGCAATTAAAAGCTCAATACTTTTTTAATTATATTTTAGGTTCTTTTTGCAAGAATTTTCACGGCTATAACTGCAATAATTGTAATAGTAAGTATTCACAAGATGGTTTTTAATCAGAGCATCAGAAGCATTGCTAACAATGTTTTTTGACATATTCAATTAACTTTTGATATCTGACCCAATTTAAATAGCTAAAAAACTGAGATAGGGATGTCTCCAGATGCAAAGTATTGCGGGGTGTCTCCAGATGCAATACATTACATTCCTACAATAATTGTTTGATTTATTTTAATATTGTTGATGTATAAAAAGTCACTTGACATTTGTTACTTTGTATATTTCAAAAAAAAGTCAACCAGAATAGTTTTTTACTGGAGCTTAACATGATTTGAACTTGAAATAGGTCAGCAATCAAACTAATGGAAATGCATAGAAGCATAGCATAGAACTTGAAAAAATAATTTGGTTTGTTTTTTTGTTCGATTAGAATTCCAATATTTCGAATTTCTTTTAAAGTGAAAGAAGTTGAGCTCTGTTTTATTGCTCTCTAATGGATACAACAATTTCATTGACAGCTAGCAATAGTTTTCTGCCTTGTGAAAGGTTCAAAGAAACACACTCTTTACCTGTGCATGATTAACATTTTGTGTAAGTAACTTTTCATTAATTTCCTGTCAGTATTTTCTCTTTTTTTGAATTCTAAGAATATTTTTGTCAGTGAACTTCACCATTATAAAAAGGAATGCAGGCATAATTTTTTTGCGGGTGTCATTAATTTGCATGAGGAACAACAATTTTCACTTTGAGATTGATATTTTGTACAGATTGAAATTTTTCCAGGCTTTTTTGACTTATGTTTTCTGAACTCTCGACAAATTTTCGTGTAAAATATGAATTATCCAATGGCCACTAAAAAGCAGCTGTTGGGTGAAATTTTCCAACGGGATGCAGGTTGCTAGTCTGATAACCAGCCCATTATCCTTCAGTTATCAGGCTAGCAGGCTGCATGTTTCTGCTCTTACTACTTGCTCACTATGCTTCCAACATTTAACATAACAGATCACTGTATTTTTTGTTGAAAAAATTTTGCGAAGCTCATCACTACCGTTTTTCTTTTTCTTAGTGAGCAGTATCATTGCTGGCTTTCTGGTAAGTCTCTTTTGAGAATACGTCTTTATCAACTTATTACATGCAGGAGACGTAAATTGGCAGATAATTTTTGGAATAACTAACAAAAAGCAAATTGTTATTTTTTACTACTATTGTGCTGTGATTGTTTTAAGCCTTTACTTACAGAAACATAATCCAATTTATTGTAAGCCTTTACTTGTAGAAACTGCCCAGCTAGGGCAGTTCCCTTCTGAATTGAGCATATTCTTTGCATAAGCATTGTGTAATATTATACTCTGATGTAGATCAGATTTTTTTATCACTCCAATTTTTGAATTATTAGAAAATATTTTGAGGGTTGGGACACCTCAACTGGTATTTACATGGCTAATTACATGCCTCAAAATATGGTTGCTACTAGATAGTAGAAGGCTCATATCAATGTTAATTACCATCAACTTACTTTTATTTAATATGTTTGATCAAAAGCCCTCGTTTCTCTATGCCTATCCCTCTGTACAAGCTCACATGGTTTTTTGCTGCCTTCAGAAAACCAAACCCATATGTGCCTTTCCTTCCCAACCTATTTGTGCCCACTCAACCTATATCTCTTGTCAATGAGTAGAACACAAAAAAGGGAAAAGATGCTGTGCAACCTCTGAGCTTAAAGTTAAAATCTTATCATTTCCTTCCTCCTGTGTTCCTGTACAGTGAATCCCTTCTTCTCCATAGGCTTGGTGGTATCATAATGGCGTACTGCAAGCAAGTGCATATTATTTTATGATATTTGTTGGAGTGTGTGTGATATTCCAAGCAATTGCAATTGACATCTTTGTCTGGAACTGGCAGCCATTTTCGTCAGAAACAAGCTCATATGTGAATCCACACACGATGGCACCTGCTAACCACACAACTACACGGCGGCCCATTACTCATTGATTATTTGTACCTGAAATAAGATGTGATGTGCCAGGAAACCTAATAAATTGTACACTCACGCTACTGTTCATCTTGAAGATATAATCCTTTCTGATTGCTCCCACTTCAGATGAAAAGCAATTGGGGAAGTGGGTGCTATGATTCTGTAAAATGTTAATGGTGAATCTATGAACCTAGTTGTAGATTGATAGATCAATATATGATGCATTCTTGCAAACGTTTGAAACAATTATTGCTGAATTGATAATGTTGTTTTTTACTTAAAAATTGACTTGAATTCAATAATGGTTATTGCCAAAATTGTGTCGTGTAAAACTACTGGATTGTTTGCCACCAGGTTTGCAAAGGGAATTTATGTTTGACAGAAAGCTTTTTGTAGCAGTATGAAATCCGTAATTAATCACTGCTTAAAGAAATTTCAATTTTAACTGGATACATGGATTAACTGGTGGCTGTCAATACAGAATTTGATGACAGAAAATATTACTTCTGTGTCCTCGATTGAATGTTTATGAATTAGTTAAAAAATTCTCTTTGCGGGGAGTTTCTGATTTAGAAACGGCAAATCATCGTAATATTAATGAATTATTTTCATTTTTTTGAAGCAATAGATATCTGCTATGTTTAGTTTTCAGAAAGATTTTTTTTTTTGGTTTAATTTACTTTGTTTAAAATGATTTCTTAAATTTCTACAATGAATTGGTAACTTCATTAATAATTCTATCCTTACTTGTCATCATTTCATCTTGAATCTATGCAGACTTGTAATCAGTCTGAATTCAGACTGATCGTAAGGCTTGATTGGTGTGAAATAAGTTATCTTTGCTTTTTAAACTTACAGTGTCGAATGGGTTTTGAGGGATCTCGATTGAAACTGTTTCCCAGAAAAGATATAGCTAGTATACTAAAATTGATATATTTTCTCTAAATTTTTCTGTAACATGTAAATTTATCATAGGGGGGAAGTATATTTTTCATATAGGGGGCAGCTGTTGGAGATGTACATTTTTTGAATACTCTCTCAGAGGAATAAGTTAACACTGTTAGGAAATTATGAGAAGGAGGATAATCCATCAGCAACCCTTCGCTTTTGAAGGCCCTGGGCTATTTTGAACCTTACCCAACAAAGTGAAAGTCCATGTTTGGAGCGATTATTGTTGTTATACCAGATGGAGTCATGGTCTCGCTTTTGAGAAAAGCTAGAGATGTAAGAAACGAGCAAACGCTTTTTATTCTACCTGTATACAGTCTTTTCGACGAAACTAAAAGGGTGCACTTATAACTTAGCAAAGATGGTTCTCTTGTTTTCTTTTCTATGATGTCCTTGTCCATAGTTACGTTCCCTCTTCCTGTTGGCAGTGTACGATTCCCAACAGTTACTTATGTTCAATCCCCAACAGAGGTTATATAAAACAAAGAAACACAGACAGTGGAAAGAGAGCGCACATTTTTTCCAGCTTAGTGTCCGATGTACTTTTTATGAGCGCGTATTTTGTACCTTTTTCAATGAGTAAAAATACTTTAGCAGATTGAAAAACTAGTCAAAGGAACATTATTAAAGTATTAATTAGTGATTTGAAGTGCTCTGATACATAAAGTAATTTTAACGCGTGTATATAGAGCATCTTAGTTTCATGAATATTCATTCGATGCATATGTATTTAATCAATACATATAATGATATGTAATGTATCCAATAACAAGAAATCCATTGCAAACAGTTATTTGACGACCCAACAGTAACTCAAATGACTTCTTGGTTTCGGATAGTTACTTGGCCATTTAGACGAATTTCCGTTTATATGGTCATTGATCTGGTTCACGCAAGCTGTTCATGAACATCCTTTCTTTGTGCAGTTGCGAAATGACCACTTTGACACATTGTTGTTTTTTATTGACAAAAACGCAACCTTTTTTCATCTTAATTCAAAATTCCTTCTCTTTGGCCCTTCTATTTAGGGTCGTAGGCCATTCGACTTTGGAACTGATTTCCACTGCATACGGCACATTCTATTAACAACCCTTGGTCCCATTTCTTGCTTTTGTGGTGACGTCATAAGGTAGCTCAACACCCTTACGTAAACTGTCTGTTATCGAACGACAAGAATCGCAACACGCACTGACTGGCGAAAGAAGTACATAGATAAAAGCGCAAACGAAACCAATTATTAGGGCTGGTAACAAAAGAATTATCCAAACCAGAGTCCAGAACAAAGTGCATATAGCATCTCCAGCGCCCATTTTAAAGATCTGCTGTTTTTCTCTCACCTAGAATTGAAGATTGAAAGCTAATGTTTCATCATGCATGCTTTTAAAGCGACGTCATTATGATATATAAAGGTAGTATAGTTACTCTAACCTAACTCCACCCAAGGACATTCGACTTGCCTGGGTCCTGGTGTTCAGGAAAGCAACGTTTTACTCAATTTTTCTCACGGCCTTTTTTGTTTTGCAAAGGGTACCTAAGCTTGCACAACCGCCAAGGGTACCCTAGGTGTGCATCTGGCCACAGATTTCCTTCAGAAATGATCAGTTGTGGCGCCAGGGAAGGGCTACAGCCTCTCCGGCGGAAGCATCTAACCCCCCATCGGAGGAAGTTTTAGGCTATTGTCGGAGCCAATTGTACAAAATAACGTACGAGAACTGCATATTTTAGTCATTCTAGCCCCCTGTCGGAAGCTCCAACCCCCTGTCGGAAGATTTTTGGCGGCACCTCTGGATGTGAATTAATGCTTCTTCTGATAGTCTAGCCAATCATCCTGATCACAAGAGAATGTGATCGTCCTAACCAAAATCCAGATAATTTTGTTTTGCTTTCTGTTTGGGGTGCAAATTGCAGAAAAGATCGGACAGGCTCGAATGTACTGGATTAGCAACTTTTCAGTTAAAAACTACAAATATCTTCGATGCAAAAAAAATCTCATCTCAATTCATTCAAAATGTCAACATAAACATTAAGCATTTTTTTGAAAACAAAGTTTAACTATTAGGAATATCGTACCTTATCTTGCAAAGCCGGCCTTTTTTAACAATTTTCTCGATCCACTGTTTAGATCTTTTGCACTGGTATGTGCCTTCTAACAGGGCGGGTGATCGTTGACCTTGTTTTTGAAGTAGTTCATGTAAATTTGCATGGATCACCTGTTACTCTCATAAACGTTCTTTCTCATTGTTGGTGTTGTTTATATTTCAGTTAGGTGAACCTTTGAAACAAATGTAATGACCAGTAATTTTTCTTTTCTTGTGTAACCACACAGAGTTATTCTTATGCAGAAGCTGTTCTAAACTTGAAATGGCTGAAATGCTTTTTGCTTTCTTCCTGGGGATGAGATACCCTGGCCTAAAATAAGCGTGAATCTGACTCACTTTGTGGAGTTGCAAATTGAAATTGTGGAACTGTAATTGTAGAAAGTGTGGATATGTAAATAGCGCATTTTCTTAAAAGTGCAGCATAAAATACCAATTAAAACGCCTAAGATAGAATTAGGAACATCTTTTTCAATGCAAAGTGAAAGCCCAATTCCAGCCTTATGGATTGCACTCATTTTTTATAAGTAAATTGCTATAAGAAATAAGCAATGGACAATAAAAAGAATAAAGAAGCTCCAAATCTCGAAGCTTCTGTACATGCGGAGAAAACTCAATTGCGCTTTATGATATTGTCGTGCTGTTTTGAAGAAAGATGGACTCGGTATACATCTTCAACTCAACTTCAAGACATCATCTCAAGTTAGTTTGCTTTTACGACTTACATAAAAAACACTGAGCCTATATGACTTTCTGCCCGTAATGTATTTTGGGGTTTATGTAGATTCAAGTAGATTTCAGAAAAAGTTGCAAAACAATTCAACTAAGGTGTTTTGAATTGGAAAAGCATTGGAAAGAATCCTTCTCAAGGCTAAAGCAGTTGAACGATAATATACCTCTCGGTGGTATCTGGGAGGAACATTTAATTGGGAATGTTTCATAACAGGGGCTATAGTCCTCCCTTACTTTTTTGCAATCATAGGTTAGAAAATGGTTTGAAAGTTTACGCTAACGAACCCATTAGTAGCAGTTCTTCTTGACTGGACACCCGTTTTTGTCTTTTTCCTGGTGCTTTAACTTGTCTGATCAAAGATAAATTTGTATTTTATCTTGCTCGGCTTTGTATTTTTATAGTAATTGAAATCCTCTCTTAGCGTTATGTTGAAGAATAAGGACAGAAAGTAGCAACTTTTTTCCGATGTTTCAAAGGGTGTGGCCATAAAAATCTAGGGCAAGCCCCCTAGCTCCGTTCCACCTATTCCCCTATGGGCTGGTGCGTGGTGTTTGCGTTACCAACAAGATAGGGGGAAAGATCATGCTTTCAAACTACGCGAAAAGAGAATAAGAAGAGACCATAGAGATAAGAGACAAGCACAATTTGTACATATGTGAGAGAAGAGATTATTTGCCATCCGTAACAAGATTCTCGTTTATAGGATCAAATTTTATTGAAGAAAAGATTTGATGACGAAGAATTTGATGGGCTTAATGCAATCAAAATGACTTTTGAAGGCCTCACTCAGCTTTTGCCCCGGGCAATTATGCAAGATTTCATTCAATCGTGTATTGAAATTCGAGAAATAAATTACTAAGATCACAGAGATCTGAGACTTGTTTCAGAGGAATTCTACCAGGCGAGACAATGACACACATTCTCGCAGCAAACCCTAATTCTGCCGATGTAGAGAGGCTGATTCCCATCTACAAAAAGATAGTAACAGATTGGCAAAACAAGGAGTATAACTCCTGAAACACTTAACAAATATATGAAAATCGCAAGTTTCGAATTCCGTGAACAACTACAAATACATGGCTCCGAAAAACCAAAAGCACTAGAGTCTGGGAAGCAAGAATGATTTAAGTTGGATTTCGAAGGAGAAAGGAAAGAAAAAATAACTTTTACGGAGCTCCAAACAAACCATGTCAAAGGTTTCCTTTCGATAACTTTTTGCTCACAAGCTAAGACAACACTGTATGTTGCTAATTTTCTTGCTGAAATCCATATACTGTAAAGAATTAGCTTTTTATACTTCCATTCATTAAAATTGGCCAATTAAAACATCCTATTTGCATTATAGAAGCAATTTCTATATTTGTCACGCCCATTTTGCCAATCGCAGCAAAGTACCACGCCCAATTTTTATAAGAAATGTGGATCTGTAAAAAATTCTTATTTTAGGCCTTGGATGTGCGGGGCCTTTTGTAACCTTGATTTTTACTCTAGATTAAGGGACTTGACTAAAGTATAGGATAGATTTTATATGGCTTTGGACTTGGCAAAGATAAAACAAACAGGAAGGAGAATTAAATTTGGAATTATGTTTCTGCAAATATCTGGCTTAGCACCAGAAATCCAGAAAGCACGCATATCTGGCTTAATATTTGTTCCAGGTTACTAAACGAAAACCATTAGCATATAAGGGTAAGATAGTTCTCAGAATGTTTTACCATTGTCAATCATAAGACTGAAGGTGGTGTTCTCTCATCATTTGAACCATTTATTTTTGGGTTGTCGGTGCGCCAATCGCAAAGACGGCCATAAATAAAACCCAAACCGTTTCTGAGGGGGTTGAAGAGAAGAACAATGGCCTTCTTCCGCCTACTAGCAGCACCTTGCTCATGCAAAAAGTCGCAAGCCATACGGCCATTAACTAATGCACAAAAAAAAATAGAAAGTCAACATGCATGTAAATAAAAACCCCTAAAAATATCTAGACATGGGTTGGGTGGGCAGGGTCGCAAAGGAAAAACCTTTCCTATCCAAAGTCCAACTTCGAGTTGTGGTGCAACGTGTGAGTATGAAACTGTGCTAAGACAAAGTTTATATAGCCAAGGCCAATGCACACTTGCACGTTTGTTGCTATAGCCGTATAAAAGACACAATGTAAGGCTTACTCGAGCACTGCTGCAATAAACACAAACTCCACAATTGTGCAATCTGTGCCCAAAAAACAAAAGCCCAAGGGGCACCTAAAAAGCGTACCCTGTCACATATTAAACATGATTAAATTTCATGTAATCAAGCTTTAGACTGTGCGACATAGAAGGAAAACTCAAGGTCCAAAACATGTTAACTCTGCAAAATTTGCAAGTTGGTCATTTTGGGAAATACAAACTGAGATATATTCTCATCTTTATTCAGCAGAGGGTAGTTTTCGATGATAAAAATTTCACTTACAACCCGGTCCGGTATGCAAAATCTCTGCGTTATTCGCAAAATCCGCAATTCGTCACCAATGCACTTGATCTACAAAAGTGAACTTTACAAATCTCACGTTTTTGGAGTGGTTATCCATAAAAACACATGTCACATACAATAATTCTCACAACGATGAGTTTAATTCTTTACAAAAAGATCTTATTTCACAACACAATTATTTTCCTTGTAGCACTCGTGTGCAAAATACATAAGGATGGGGGTTTATCAAGATTCTAAAAGATTCTAAAAATCTCTGGTAGAGATTCTAAAAAGAGGATCATTACAAATAAAACTGTTTGAATTGACAATCATGTAAAAATAGACATTATGATACTTTTTTTGGTCAAATAGAAGACAAAAATGTTATATGATGAATGTAAACTCTAACTGATTGATTAGCTATTCAAAGGTGTAATTCAGATGTTACTAGTTTTATATATTATTTTTATAATTATCTTTGATGAGACTGATTTAATTGCAATTAAAATATTCTCATTGCAAAATTTTTCCAAACATCCTTTCTTTATATTTTTGCCTGTTTCAAGCTTGGTTTATATATTTGTCCACAGCCTCTTCCAACACCTTTAGTGGGACGGCACCAAGGCTAAGAATAAGCCCATGAAAATCCTTTACATCAAACTTTTCACCTAGCTGCTCTTGGGCTTTTAAACGCAGCTGTTTTATCTTTATTTCGCCAATCTTGTATGCACATGCTTGCCCTGGCCATGTGATATAACGATCAACTTCAGCAATAATATCAGTCTGTGCCATAGCAGTATTCTGTGACATATAATCTATGCAGTCTTGACGGCTCCAGTTCATTGCATGCACACCAGTGTCAACAACAAGACGGCAAGCACGTAGCATTTCATGAGAGAGTCTTCCGTAGAATTCATATTGATTTTCATACAGTCCAAGTTCTTCCCCTAGGTATTCACTGTAAAGACCCCAACCCTCCAAGTATGCAGTATTTAGAGCAAACCTCCCTGGCGCTTGATAATATACCCTATCCTCAATATACCTTCTGAAATCTGGCAGCTCCTTTTGTTCCATTGCATAACAGCATTGTAGATGGTGTCCTGGTTCTGCTTCATGCAGTGACAATGAAACACATTCAATGTTTGATCTTTCCTCTACCTTATATGTATTTAGATAAAATGTTCCAGGCCTTGTGCCATCAATAGAAGGGTTTAAGTAGTAGGCTCCAGGGTACCCTGGTGCCACATCCTTTGGAACTGGTTCTATCACATATGACTGACTTGGGACATGTTTGACAACTTGACACAGAAGAGGTTTGATTTTTGAAGCAATCTTTTTGTAAGTTGAAAAAATGTCAGCCTCATCTTTAAAATGAAACTGTGGCTCAGACTTCAAGAAATGTTGGAATGCCTGTAAATTACCTACAAATCCAACTTTTTTCATCACTTTTTTCATTTTCTCTTTTATTTGATTCACTTCTCTATTTCCAATGCTATGAATTTCTTCTGGGGTAAGGCTTGTTGATGTGTGAAAGTTTAAGCACTCTTGGTAATACTTTAAACCATGTTTGAGGCAACCAACCCCAGGTTTTTCTCTCACATAAAGAATGTACTCTTTCTCAAGGAACTTTGCAATCTTTAGATAACTTGGAAAAACTTTTTCAGCAAGCAGTTTCTCTGAAGATGCTTGCAGTTTCTCTTGCTCCTTTTTATCAATTGTGTGAGGGAAGTTGAGAAATGGCTTGAACAGTCTTGAATCTTTGATAGGTGTGTTGGCAGCAGCCATTAGCATCTTAGGTACTGAAACGATGGATTCAGCTGCCATTGTAAAATGATCCTGAACTCCTTGTCTTAAAAGCTCTATAAGCTGTTCAATCTGAACAGGAAAGAGTTCAAACCTGGCGAGGATCTTTCTGTAGTCATCAACAGTCTCGGTTTTCATCCAAGAAATAAGGCGAGGAAAATCAACATGTGGGCCTTCTAACTGATTCAATGGGAAGAGAAAAGATTTGAACTTCATTCCCTCTAGATACTGCTCGATTTCTGACTGCAGTAGATTGTAGTTCATAAGTAGTTGTTTATCGACACATTTTGTCTTTTCCTTAATGAGTTCACTAAGCAGACTGGTGACTTCTTCTACTCTCCGTTCAAATGCTGAAGCGCTTAAATTGTCTAGATACTCATCGAATGTGTGGATTCCGATAGCTGTTGCAAATTCTGGACTTTCTCTTAGCCTCCAACGCCAAAATTTTTCAAAAATTGTTGGTTCCTCCATAACTCCCCTTGTTTCCATCCACGTACTGCCAAAGTGAGCATGCAGATTGCGGAGGACCGATGTGGAGACAATTTGGTTCCTTCTCCTTCCAAGCGACGTAAACGCTGCTTTGCTTGTTCTTCAAAAATTGTTGTAAGTTGTTGTCTCACTGAAAATTATTCCTATAAAAATTCTGAAAAATACAGATAACTGCAAAATTGGAAAAAGTATTTTTCAAGTCAGCAGAGCGAATGAATATAAAGTATGCAGTGGGTCATGGCACCACAAGGGTATGTGTTATGTTTTATGGAAACAGTTGAGGGGCAAATTACTTTAAAAACAAAAGTCAATATTTTTGGATTTCTCGAGACCTTCTGCTCTATAGAAGGTATTTACAGATATTCCTTAGTACATTGACTTGTGTTGATAATTGGATGGATAACATTTTTCAGAGATGGCCCCAAGAAATTGAACCTTGGGAGCTAAGAATCAAGTTAACTGTCGTAGGAGGACCCACCATGGTTGGGTACGACGCGGAAATAAATTTTTGAAATTTTATCTTCTAGAAAGGCATCCCCCAGACTAAATTTAATAAAAAACTAGAATCGCTCAGGATAGAAAGTTCGGTGTTTTTCAGAAGAACACAGATTATTGTTTATTGGGTGAAATTTTGGAGGGGAAGAATCATGCTTAAACCTAAGTGACAGACTTTGGGGAAATATGGGACGCTGTTGTATTGATTGGTAGAAATTTGCTTTCTAAACAGAAATGTGCGTCTTCCTTATTTTGAGTGCTTTCAGTAGGCCATGTTAACACATCAAAAATGAATACATTTTAATGATACAAAAAGTGATTTACTGAATAAAAGCAAATAATAGACAAATAATAGAAATGTACGTAAATAAGTTAGTAAATAGGTCAAATAAAATGACAGATTGCTCTCTTTTTATTTTGTACTTTGTTTTCAAAAATAAAACGGTAAAAAAGGTAGAAAACGGTAAGTTTTTATCTTGTAAAAATTATAAAAACCAGTCTGCTTACAAAAATACCCTTATTGGCTGAGGTTTGTTGCAATAACACAGAAAAACGTAGTTTAGTTCTAACCCGGCTACCAGGGATTTCTTTCTTTCAAGGAAAATGATGGTAATTTCTCCAAAAAATCGTTTTGCTCCACATTTTAGGGGGGGGTCCAGTTCCCCCCGTCCCACCGGGATTTGCGGCCCTGCTCTGGACAAAAAGTTCCTACAAAAATGTACACAATGTGTTTCTATTTTCAGTAGAGGGCGAATGCAAAAACGTGTTTTTCATTGTACGCTTTGCGATAGAATTCCCATTTTCAAAATATTTGAAAACAGCAATCAGTTTTCTGCCATTTCTCTACAACGATATTTTGCTATATTTTGCATTTTGCTATATCAACCTACACTTACGTTCAAAAAGTATTGGGACACACTTCGAAATTTTGAAGACATTTATTGCTTCCACAAGGCATTGTTGATGTTTCGAAGTATTTTATTTACGCCAAACAATTAAAAAACGTCGACCATAAAATTTCAATAGGCCTTGAGGCGAAAACCTGGAGGCTCTTGGAATCAGGGGATCTTTTAAGAAATTTTTACTGGTGGGGAATTTACGCAAAAGGGCACTTTCCTTAATGTAACGCAACTGACGGCAAAAACAAAAGTAAATGGACGAGTATGCATAGTTGGTAAGGTTTTCACTGTCTTGCACATAACTCCTTACACCCATGCAGCGTATAGTTAGAAAAACACTAGATAAAACAATTTGATTATAGTACTCAAGATCATGATGCTTTCTGCATTTAGAGCTATAAGAATAAACTTTTTGGTACAAATATTTTGCTACAAAAGTCTTAAAAATGTCCGGTCTGTCTGAAAAACTTTCTCACGAATTTCCGTCTGCTGTATGTATCAAAGTCTGGTTGACGGTTTCGTCGCTCACGTGCTGAAAGAAAATGGGCAACAGCTGGCCGTGGATCATAATGAGCTGTTCCAACACCGTTTAGGGCAATAAGCAGTCTGGCGTTGATTGTGTCTTCAGTCATGTTTGTTCTTGAATCTTCAACAATGATGTTATGATGAGACACAATCCTCTCGGTTTGCATGGAATGTGGTGACATACTTCCAATAGCAGCTAGCACTTTTTGAACGGTGCCATCTGTAATAGGCAAGAGCTTTCTCAGACGTACTGATAGTTTACAACCAATGTCGCTTCCTTCTGGAAGATGCGGCACTTTTTCGATTTTGTCCCACTGTTCACAACATTCATCTGCAAAGCGACCCTCTTCCCCTGGAAAAAGCCTCTGGGTCATCCCTATTCCTTTTTCCACAAATTTCCCCAGGGTACTTGCACTCAACAATTCGCTCATACTCAACAAAATTTTTTCTTGCTCTGGGTGCAAACGCTCACTTAGAAATTTTTTCGCTGAAGATGTTATTTCAATGCGAATTGCAGATTCATTTCGTCTGTTAGTTGGCACCAAAGTGTTGTGCGTTTGTCTTGATCTCTGTGTTTGGATGTTTTCCCATGGTAGTGTAGTTTTTGATTCACGCTTTCCTGGGTAGGGTGTGCCGCTCAACAAATCAAGTTTCCTTTGTGCCATGCTAGAACAAGTGAATATATCTGGACGCAGAAGATCATCACGTTGCATTTGGTTCTCTAAGCTTGTGAAAACCTCGAATATATCACCCATTAGTGCTGTGAGCCAAATCTGTCTTTCGTTCCACGTATTCAGATATCCTGAGGCCTCCCTCTTATCTTTGCGGTCTCCATTTCTTGTAATTTCTCCCCAAACTTGTTTACATCTTTTGATGTTCGTAAGAACAGCATCTATTAGTGAGAGGAAATGTTGAGCAAACCGTACGTCATGATGCCGTGGAAATTGCTTCATCTCAATAGCTGCTTTCTCCAGCATTTTCTTTTTTGAAGTTGATGTACGAAAATATGTAGCAACACCAATCAGTGATGACTTCCAAATCTTTAGCTCTGGGACAGAATTGATAATTGCCTCGGTTGCAAGATCTGAACGATGGGCACAGCACCAGAATGTAAAAATGTTCCTTTCCAACTGGTCACCGAGAAGCTTCCAAAGCCCGGCATTTCGCCCAGTATTTGCAGCTTCACCATCCGTTGTTATTCCGACTAATTTATCTTCATTTGCCTCACATACCTTTAAAGCTTGATTCACAGTCTCGTGCAAGCCATGGGCCCCTCTTTCTTCTGGAGAGTGCATCACCATAAAAACTGTACGCCTGTCGCCATTTGTCATTGACATTGTACTACTGACAAACTTGTGATCTCTCATGTGCTTACTGACGCTGCCATCTATTTGCATGCTGTAGACTATGCATTCCAGAAACATTTCTTTTACTTTCTGCAGTTCAATGGCTTGAACTGAAGACAACATATCTCTGTAGCACATTGGATCCCTGTCGTGGAACTCAACATTTGTTGGTTTGAACTCTGGTAGAACTGCATCTGGACCTTCATCTTCCATAAGGGATATGAGTCGAGTGGCTGCAAGCGTTGTTAAAGACCTTGCTGGCCATGAGTGAGCAGAAATAGTTTCACAAAGACAGTCATTGTATAAATCAAATGCCATGTTTACCAAAAATTTAACTACATTGGTGTTGGCTTTTTTTAAACCGTTCAACAATGGATGATAAGCACTTTTCTCTTCCCACATCAGCTCCAATTGCTTCTGATTTCTCGTTGCTTTGTGCATTTCTGAAAATACATGATCAATGATTAGTTTGAGTCGTTCTTCATCATCTGCTCTGACCCCATTTGCAATACCAATTTTTTCATTTCGCGAGTATTTCTTTGCCACGTCCAAATATTCTTTGCATAAATTGCAAACATCATGAAGACGTTTTTTCCCATTCTTCTTTGCTGTATAGCTTTGCAGTTCTGGAAAACTTTCAATAATGAACTTAAGATCCAGCTTAATCCCGTGGTAATAAAATACACTGGCTGTTTTTTGTGTTTGAACAGTGTGTGTTGATTGCTGCGGGTTGTTAATATCTTGGCTTTCAATTTCTTCCGCTTGAGGTGAATCTGGATGGCTGGAGGCTCCTATTTCATTCTCTTCTGTACCTTTGTTGTCCGTTTTTAATTTTGATCCATAAAAATTTGTTAATTTTCTGCATTTTGAAGCAATTTCTTGAGCTTCTTTCTGCTTTCTTTTCAACGAGCGTTCAGATATTGGCATGTTTGGAGATCAATGACGCAAGCATCTTTTCCCGCGGATTTCATTGCCTCGCCTTGGTGTAGTGCAAGAACCTCAAACAGAGATTGGTTGACAGCAATAAGACCAAAGAAATAACGAATAATTTGACACATATAACACGACAACGACACAACGAACAGTAATTGGAGATAAGTCAAATTGGTGTTTAAAACAATTTTCAACAAAAGGGCACTTGCTAGTGGGGAATCATGGGCCAACTAGTGGGGAAATTTATGGGCCTGGTGGGGATTTTCCCCACTAGTTTGTATGTTAAGAGATCCCCTGCTTGGAATTCAAGAACTGAGTTAAGAGAAGCGCTTACAAATTGCTTTCTACTAAAATAAAGCAAATGGATTTCGTGAAATTGCATCAATTGTCGGCTGCTCGATAAGTGCAGCTTTTCTGGTGTGTAAAAAGATTTTCCGTACAAGATCAGTAAAATATTTATCAAGGGATGGCAGACCGAAGAAGTTTACGACGCCGTGGGACGAAAGGTCTTTACTGAGGGAACTGCGAAGTAATAGGTTGAAATCCTTACTAGAAATTATGTTGTCATGTAAAAAGAAGCTAAATATTGGAACATAAGCAAAAACATGGCTATAAAAATCATGAACAAATACAAATTTTCCAGCTTTATAGGAAGAAAATGCTCTCTCATAACAAAAATTAAACATCGCCGACGAATACAATGGCTTCTCCTTGAATGTTACGCAGTTTTAAAAGTGACTCGAGTAAATGCAATAATTTGATAAAATTGTAGCATTTTCGTTGATGTAGCAAACTTTATTTGAAGCTTAAAATTTTGATTTTGTAATTTCTTTTATAAATTTCTTTATTATGCAAACGTAAAATTAAAAAGCTGAATTT